CGTCGGTAAATTATTGGATCTTGTCGCATTTCACCAGCGCTTTTTGCAATCGCAAAGAGCGTATTTATTCACAGCTCGATACGCTATTGAATCACGCAGTAGCGCACAATCAAATTCCGGTTATTTACGGAGCACGCAAAGCACATAGTACACATATGCAGGAAAGAGATCGGAAAAAGCCCAATGCGGCCGTTGCCAATAATTCCTTGTTGACGCAAGAAGCGATCACCCGCATCATGTCGCGAATATTAAATTCGCAACTTTGAGCTCCGATCAGGCGTTTCTCTTATAATATACATTATAAATTTTAAAACGCAAACAACATCAAATATTAACTTATTAAAAAAAAACAGATATTGCTACGATATTGCATATCTTAGAGTATCTTAACCTTTAATATCTGTATCTTTTGAGTGGATTTTCAGTAATAATTTTAAAGTCTTTGCAGTAGAGCAAATTTTGTCTGCATTAAATCAACATATATTTTGATTTTTTAATTCAAAAAATTATCGTCAACGTCAGTCGGGCAACGTCAGTCCACGATAAATTATTAACTTGTTAAAAAAAGATATTTTTAATAATATAGATTCGGTCAAAGATCAATTTCCTTTTTGACAAATTACATTAAATTTTTAGCTCTGAGATTCGATTTATTTTTTATCACATTGGCACATATCTTGATTTGATTTTGATCTAGAACGTGATCTGCAGAGAATCATTAAATCGTTTAGGATGAACAGTTACGACGAAGTCCAATCACCGTTCACGATCCCGAAGCGTACGGCTCAAAGACGTTTAATTTCACAGGCTTTCGTTATAGCCGTGATTTCCCGGGTGATGTAGACGAAGGAAAAACCGTACAAGTTGGTGCCGGTTAAACGAGACGGCGAGAAAACATAAACAAGAACCTATAAATCTATGTCATAAATTTAGATGAAGAACAAATAATGCCACAAAGAATGTTTAATCGATTTCGGCATCAAAACTAATCGTGCTTGATTAAAATTCTTTGTTGACCTCTCAAAAAAATTATATGTCAAATTTAGAAAAAGTCAAGACATGAAGAATTTAAATTGCTAAATTATTTAACAAATGGCCAAATTACTTAATTACTTGAAAAATCTTTAAATTATTTGATAAATTACCAAAGTAAGATTGATAGAATGGTTGAGGTAAGAGAGAATGATTGCATATTAATGAACCGGTAAAACTAGTAAAGCTAGCCATTATAATTTACGATTAGATAACTATAAGACTTAAAATGAGATATATTTGAAAATTACACAAAAATTTCCTATTATTGTTATCTTGTTATTCTAACATTCTTGTAGTCGGTATGTCAATCGCTTTTCCACACAGCATGCATATTCGGAGGACGTTCGGGGGACATCCCGAAGATATCGTATCTCTCAAGAATACCTTCGGGATGTCTTCTGGACGTCTTTTGGATATGTGTGCTGTGTGGGTGGCTGTTCTAGTTTTACTGGTTCATTAATATGCAATCATATCTTTGAGAGATACGATATCTTCGGAATGTCCCCCGAACGTTCCCCCGGATATGCATGCTGCGTGGATTATTACGTTATGTTACAACACATACGAAATTATATGATATTCATCGGAGTTATATGGTTCGCCGGAGACCACACGGGCACGCGAAGCATGAGAGTAGATGGAGATTAATTCCGGCGCTAATTTAGCGGTAGATAGCAAGTACTCGGCTCAAATGTTCCCCCGAGTAAGCTGCGCCTAGACTTCCAGCCGCAAATGAAACTCGAGCTCCGCGCGCTTACCTTGTTTTCTTCCTCTCTTTCCAGCGGCGGCCTTCTTGCCTTGAAGGTGCAAAAAAATGTTAGCCGAGCCAGCATAACAAAATTTCCGGTGAAATTATGTCATTTCCAGAGCAATTCAGTGATACGCGTTCGCGCCAGATATAGTTTAGTTACAGCGAATTTCTTGATGACAAAATATTTTACAATTTATAATTAATATAAAAATTTATTATTAATATTATTAATTCTATTATAAATGGAATAATAACTTATACATTGGTTGTTTTATTATCACAATCGTATAATGAACCGTCAGTGAACCGCTCGCTGTGAATATATAATTGCTATTGGATTAAAAGATTTTATTTCTTAAATAACTTCAAAAGTGGATTTCAGTGTAATAGAATTTTATTGTAAGATTTAGCTGCGAGATCTTTCCCACACAGCACACATATCCAAAAGACGTTCAGAAGACATCCCCAAGATATCTTTGAAAGATACGATATCTTCGGAATGTCTTCCGAACGTCCCCCAGATAAGTATACATGCTGTGTGTGGGTTACAATTGATTTCACCAAACTTTCTCAAATTTTATTTAATCAACAATAATCTCTGAATTATAATAAAAAATAATTAAACGATAATTTCCGCATTCAGAGCGATTAATATTTGCAATAAAAAATTGTGAATATTAATCGCTTTTAGTAAAACAAAAAACAATTGCGTTTAAAAATCTATAATTTTAACGAATGTTTTGTAATTTGAAAAAAGTTAATAAAATGAACCATTAATATTAAAAATGGAAAATATGAAACCTAATTAAATTTCTGCTGCGTGGATTTTGTGTAGTAATTTAAAGGGCACTCTGCATGTAAACCACGCAATTCCCAAGTGACAAATAAATAAATAAGCAAATCACTAGAAATAATTATTTTAAATGAAGTAATAACTATGTATAATCTCATTCAATATCTGGAATAATATATTTACATTTAAGAAACATTTTATTAAATGATTTAATTTTTTATTCAAATTTAATAAATCCAGTTTTTGTAAATATTTTTAACACAGTGTAAGAATGTGACTATGTTACATTTTTTATATTTTTTCAAAGAAAGTCTGATTAAAATTAATGATTATTTAAATATCTTAATATACTGTTAGATTTAAAATAGAAATTATAAAATAATGACTCACACATTAGATATTTTATTATCACAACCATATAATGACTGCATATATTGAACGAACCGCCCGCTGCGAATATATAATTGCTATTCTAGAAACTTTATATTATGTTTGTAGAAACATGTTAAAATCATATTAACCGCTTAGTCATTCGTAGGCGATAACACTAGATATGACTAAAGTCTTTTGTCTTCGAGTTACTTTATATCTCTTTCGATATCACCAGATATCGCTCTCGGCGATTACTGGCTGCTGATCTTCCGAACGTTACTCTTCACTACTTCACATACTTTCGGGCTGTTACGAACCAACGAGCCGTCAGGGGACGCCATGTTCATACTGTAGATGGTATATGTAGTACGGGATATGCGAATAAACGTGTCCATTATTTTCCGTGTAATAACGCTTGTTGCTTATTTATTTACGTAGTGTAACGTGTGTCGAGACTGATTCACGTATCTACGATTGATACGAACAGAAGCGCAGTTCTGCTGCGGTACTGCGCGAGTCGTTCGCCGTGGACGCATGTAATCGAACCGAGATTTGATACAGCATTCACAACTCAATGTCCCTTTGGTTTCTGCAGAATTTGTTTACGAGTAAATCTCGTGCTATTAGACGACCGTACGATAGTCCACGAGACGCGCGGTTCATCGTAAGAGTGCGAATTTCCTTCCAGTGTGATTGAGTGTACCACGCTATGCCGCGTTAACGTGTGCATTTTATAACCTGGCTATACGATCGAAGTACTTTGTTCCGTCTTGTGCATCTTGTTTATCATGCTATTGCATCTTTGACGAAACATTATCAATCGGTAAGATATTTCCGCATTGTCCAATCTTATGTTTTGTTATCCTTTTTTTTCATATAATCTCAGCATCATATACCAAACCATTGTTTTTAGATTAAATCATTGTTGACTAATTGATTGAAATGCATATATTGACCATGTGTATATATTAAAATAAAATTTGCTCGTTATTATTCACACTTATTTTAAATTGTTTATTATGTATCTTTGATATGCAATTTTCTTATGCAATAGCTTTGGTTATTTCATTTTTCTACAATAAAAGCATAATACAAAATTATATTGTTAATAATATTTATATTATAATAAATGTTATCAACAATATAATTTTTTATTTTTATTTTATTAAAATCTATGTTTACAGGTACATACTTAATTAAAGGATATCACAATGTGGCCCACGCAGAGTAATAATAATTCCAATACAAACTCTACATCGAGTGATAAGAATTTACGCACTCTGGGTATGACATCTGCTATTAGCGTAGCGGAACCTAAACCTATCGATATTACCAGAACCAACGAATTGAAAGAGGCCCTGAAACCCTACAATGTTTTCGAATCTGAAGAAGAGTTGAATCATAGGATGGAGATTTTAAGGTATGTTTGATTAGTTATCATAACTATTTTGTTAATAATAATAATATATCAATATCAAAACTTGTTTACTTCTGCAGCAAACTGAATGCATTGGTCAAACAATGGATAAGAGATACGAGTATAGCTAGAAATATGCCGCCTAATGTGGCTGAACAAGTTGGTGGTAAAATTTACACATTTGGTTCATATAGATTAGGTGTGCATCACAAAGGTGCCGATATTGATGCACTATGTGTTGTGCCACGTCACATATACAGATCGGATTATTTTACATCCTTTTTTGAATTACTGAAAATGCAAGAAGAAGTTACAGATTTAAGAGTATGTAATTTAATTACTTTTTTTAATATTTGCATGATATCTTATACATTAAAAATACAATTTTGTCTTATTTTACATTATTTAATATTGTAGGCTGTGGAAGAAGCCTTTGTACCAGTCATAAAAATGAATTTTGATGGTATAGAAATTGACATGTTATTCGCAAAATTAACACTTAAGGAAATTCCGGATTCAATGGTATTAACATTTGATATTTATCTACAAAATCAATGCTTTATGAATTTTATGTTTTATAATAAATGTTTAATATTTATAGGATCTCAGGGATGACATGCTACTAAAAAACCTGGATCAAAAGTGTGTCAGAAGTCTCAATGGTTGTAGAGTAACTGATGAAATATTGCGTTTAGTACCTAATATAGAAAATTTTAGATTAGCTTTGAGGGCTATAAAATTATGGGCAAAACGTAAGATTGTGCATTTTTAACCTTAATATATAATACATCATTCTGGTCTACATTTACTTTTTTATTTTTAGGACATGGCATATACAGTAATGTGTTGGGCTACCTTGGTGGCGTGTCCTGGGCAATGTTGGTTGCTCGAACATGTCAACTTTATCCCAACGCTGTAGCTGCGACTTTAATAGAAAAATTTTTTCTCGTATTTTCTCAATGGAAGTGGCCGCAACCGGTACTATTAAAACAACCTGACAACGTCAATCTCGGTTATCCAGTTTGGGATCCAAGAGTAAGAATTTCTTTAGTAATTCTTATATTTTCTAAGTAAATCTTGCATTTACCAATATCAAGAGAATAATACATGTAACAAAATTTTAAATTACATATAAGATTTTTTATTTGCCATTATTGACATATTTAAAAATAAATCTAGTAATCAATATATTTTACCTATTTTTCATATTTAGATTCTTTAATTTCTGTTTTTTTAGGTAAATGTATCTGACAGATATCATCTGATGCCAATAATCACGCCAGCATACCCTCAACAAAATTCAACTTTCAACGTGTCTGTGTCGACCAGAACCATCATGCAAGAAGCATTTGAAAATGGACTAACTATAACTGAAGAGATCATCATCGGTAAAGCAACGTGGGACAAGTTGTTCGAGCCACCAAACTTTTTCGGCAAATACAAACATTACATTGTATTGCTGGCCAGAAGTTTAAGCGCGGAAGATCAACTTGAGTGGTGCGGCCTTGTCGAGTCAAAAATTCGACACTTAATAGGTAACGATTGAGCATAAATATATCTATGGGGAACGTGCATGTATATTATTTCA